CCCCAAAACCCCAAAACCCCAAAACCCCAAAACCCCTGAATTACGAAATTTTATTGACCATAAAATAATTTTAATGCAGTGTATTTTGAAATGGAGGGGCAACTCTTTGCGGTTAAGCAAAGGGTTGTTCTATAAGACACCTAAAAAGTTTTTATTATGTGAAAATTCAAGGATGATTCATACCTTTACAAAGCAGCAAGGTTGTTTGAAAATGAATAATAATATCAAAAACCTTATGTTGTTCTCTGCTGTAAATAAACACTTCTCTACAGTTACCAAGAATTTTGATGGAAAAGACTTTGATTTGATCAAGAAGTATAATGACTTACTTAAAAGTGGCGAAATAGAGGAGAATCCAGCTCAAAAAGTAATTATCTCCCAGCTTCATAGCATTGGAGAACAAACTTTGGAGCATATAAAACTACTTCATTCGTACAGAGAATATATTAAAAACAATCCTTATCGATCTCATGTTACTTCCTCTGCAGAATCATCAGAAAGCAGCGGAGGTTTCTGGGGATTGTTTGGAGGCAGCAAAAAGGAAGAAGTAAAGCAAAAGCCAAAAATTCCAGAAAAAATCAAGAAAGAACTCCCAAAACAATTCAAAGATCTTGAAAATCTAAGGGGCGTTTATCTTCATGGAAGTCCAGGGACAGGTAAAACATACTGAATGGACACTTTCTTTAATGAGTTACCAATTAAAAGGAAAACAAGGCTCCATTTTGCAGAATTTATGCTTGAAATACACCAAGAAGCTCACAAAGTCAACCAGAAGACAGATAGGTCAGTTGACACCATCACAGAGGTTGGAAACCAGTATTGTAAAGATTTTGACGCAATCTATATTGATGAGTTCCAAGTGCTACATATCTCAGATGCAATGATTCTTAAGAGACTTTTTGAAGCTTTCTTTGACAATCATGTTGTGTGCTTTGTGACTTCCAATAGGCCCCCAAGTGATCTCTACCTGGGTGGACTTCAAAGATTCTTATTCCTTCCATTCATTGATATGGTTAATGAAACTATGGAGGTACTCTCATTAGATGGGGTTGATTACAGAAAAATGGATTATGTAAAAGGTATGGAAGAGAGCGTAAGAAGGAAAGCAATGTGGAATAAATGAACAAATAATGCTGAGGGTAGCATTCGGGGAATCAAAGTTGCCCAAGGAAGAACTCTTACTATTCCACTCTATCATGACAAAGTTGCAATGATGAGCTTTGAAAGTCTTTGAGACAATGCTCTCGGAAATCCCGATTATATGGCCCTTAGCTCAGAAGTACACACTCTCATCCTCACTGATGTTCCACATTTGAGCTTAGATGATAGAAATTTATTGAGGAGATTTATTTGGTTAGTTGACGCATTATACAATCACAAAGTCAGACTATTAATATCTCCTAATATTGAAGTCACAGAAATTTATCAAGATGAAGATGATTCTGGAGAGAAGGATGAAAACTTTGCATTTGAAAGAACTCTTAGTAGACTTATTGAAATGAAATCTGAAAAATATCTAAAAAAATCAAAAGCAGCAGATTATTTATAAATCTCAACCTTGATTTTCAATTAGCAAATGACGTGTGGGGTTTTGGGGTTTTGGGGTTTTGGGG